ATCTGTGGATGAGCTTAACAGAAAAGAGCATAAAAGACCCACATTGCTTGCAGATCCCTCCTTCTGTTTGCTCCAACCTTTGGAATTGTTACAGTATGAGAAAAGACTAAGTGCTTTTCAGTGGGGGAATGATCCTGTAATTGTTAAACTTTGTAAACAATTAAATGACACAATTTTGCCTCTTCAATCAATAATCAATGTAGCTACTGTACTTTAAAGCTTTCAACACATCTTAAGGAAAAAATATGCCGTAAGATGTATGTTTAAGGCTGTGTGGGTGTAGTTTCACTACTGTGTTTTTCTAAACTTTTCATTGAAACCAGTTCACCTCATTCTTTGTGCATGAGCTCCAAAACACCGCTTTAAAAAAGCCCAAAACAAATTCTTGCTGAAACAAAACCAGAGAAGGAGAGAGGGACGGGAGTGGCAGGGAAAAGAGGGAAGGAGGAAGCAACAAGGTCACATAGCGGAGGGAAAATAACACGGCTGTTCATGATTAGAGCTTTAAATTGAGTCCCAGGACAGTCATATCAGTAAACCACAGCCTTCCCCTCCCTCTGTCAACCATGCAGGAGTTACACAAGCCAAGGGAACAAGAGAGGGACAAAGGTAATAATAAAAAGTTGGCTGCTGCAAATATATTTACAATGTCACAGTTAACCATTAACTCTGACACAGAGTAAAAGGTTCTTCATAGTTATAGGAAGCAATCATCGCTGTCAAGCATTTGTGGAATTAACAAAATCATGCAGAACACACCAAAAGAAAGTAGTTGATTAAACATTTGCAAAGAATGCAAAGAAAACCTACTTGGTGTGAAGGGCTGCACAAGGGCTCCTATAGAGAAACCACATGGTTGATCACAAGTGCAGGGGGAACCAATCACATGCGAGGGTTTGTTTATGGCATCTCTGTTATGTGGTTTTTCAGGGGTCACCCGGATACAATAAAAATATTAAGTGGTGACAGAGGTTACAGTTCTGTAGAAGATCTGAGCAAAGATCAGGTTGCAGTGGCATTGCCACAACAAGTTCTTAGGAGTGGTCAGGTAGCGACCAATGTCCGTAGAGGGGTGGCCAAAACCAGACACCCACCAGACCCTAGGGTCAAGACTAACTAGATGCACATATATGTGAAGAGTGAATGCTTGAAATAAAGATCTGGTGAATGATCTTCTTTAAGTTCTGAGTTCAGGAGTGAACTTAGATATATATATATATATATATATATATAT